CTTTTCAATGATAGTAGTAGTAGTTGTAATAATAATAACCAATAATTTATATGAGGCAGCTTGTTGGCTCAGTGGATAGAGCATTGGGCCTGGAGTGAGGAAGACCTGTGACATACTTGCTAGTTGAGTGACCCTGGGCAAGTCACTTAACTTCTGTTTGCCTTAATCCACTGGAGAAGGAAATGGCAAATGACCCCAGTATCTTTGCCAAGAAAGCCCCATGGATAATATGGTCACAAAGAGTCAGACACAACCAAACAACTGAGGAACAACAAAAATATTTATATAGCTCCTATGTGCCAGGCACTGTGCTAAATGTTTTTCCACTCAATAACCCTAGGAGATGGGTACTATTATTTCCTAGATTTGCAGATGAGAAGACTGAGGCAAACTGAGGTTAAGTGACTTGCCCAAGATCCCACAGCAAGTATGTGTCTGAGGCTGGATTTGAACTCAGGTCTTCCCAGCTCCAGGCCCAGTGCTCTATTTACTGCTCTACCTAGGTGTCCTGAAACAATTGAATGAGCACACACTCAAGTACGTAGACTTATCCTCAGAATAATCTACAATGAACTCTGATAGCTCAAAAAAATTAAAATAAAGTTCTTACATGATTACCAACAAGTTCAGACCATGCATAAATCAAGCCAATTTGAATTCTGAGATCAACTGTATTTTAATTACTGATTTTGCTACAAGTTATGTTATGCATGGATACATGTACATATCAATCTTTTACAAATATGGTTTTGTTTCATATAATATTAATATTAATAGTCAGAATACACAAAATATCATTCTATGACATTCAGGTCTTCTGAAGGGGGTCACAATGTAAGATGCCAATAGTACAATGATATTAACTTGAAAGTAGATAAGGAGAAAAACTCAAACCATCCATTGAATTCTGTGATCTCTAAGTACCTTTCAGATTTCCTGCCAAATTCTTCTGACTTTGGGTCTTTGGGGGAAGGCTAGAAAGGCAGTTATAAGGAAGGCCCACATTTCTCTCAATTCAAAATAGCTATTTTATTCAGTGTAGCAAATATACTAGTGTCTTCTTGTTGTTGCTGTTTAAGCAAAGAAGAAATTGGTAATAGAAGTAATTACTTTCACACAACTTCTAATAAAGGGAGGAAAAAACTCTAGAAACGTGATCATATCATTTAATAAATCAATATTTTACTTGGGACCACTAAGAAATTAGTCAATAACTTTTAATAATGTGCTACACATTTTAAATGTGAAGAAAGTGTCATGCTCTTGAATAAAAAACAGTAGCAATATTTTGCATTTAGATTATACTAATGCAATGGTACAAATGTTTTTTCTTTTCAATTAGGAAAATAGGGTACCCTAAATAGTGAGATGAACAGATGGAAAAGGCCTCTGGACTCTTTCAAAGGCCCCTGAGCTACCTCAAGACCAAACACTTTTTTAGGAAGGACAAATTAGTACCAACTAATGTCATGATTGACTGTATTTCATGTATTAGGCATATTCCTCAAACTTCATTCAAACTCTTACTTGAATCCTCAAGTACCATATAGCGAATGATATGTCAACATGGTCAGTGATAATACCTACTACTATGGGTCAGTAAAACTGCAGTTGAGAAATTATCATAAAATTAGCCATTTCAAATGAACTTTACATATTTGGAAAAAGGGGAAGAACAGTATTAGACCTGTCCTCAAGCCTTCCATTCTTATACAACTAATAATCAAGGTGGAATTTTCACCTATAGGATTATCTATCCTTGTTTTGTTTTAAATGACACACAATGGAAACATTCACTGGACATGTTGTGATGTAATATCGGATTTTCATGAGTAAAATTGCATCTTTGCTAACTTAGACTTTTAGAGACTACCAAAGTCATCTGTTCATCTTCAATTCTGTGATCCCCAAAATTTTAAAGTAACCAACATTGAACTATTCTTTGCATCCTGTCAAAACTGTCACTGTTAAGAAAAAAAAAAGTGAGCTACTAGCAGAATGAAAGACAAATGACCTCCCACTCTGCCCATGTTCAAGTAAGTTTCAGAATTCTCCTTTAGTTCACTAGCCCATTGGTGTTTATTAGTTTTTTTTTTTTATTAATTCTTTGGATCAATCTTGGAGGCCATTAATCAATATTTTAAAAATTCTCCTAAAGAAATTCTTTTAAGGTTACCATTTCTCTTCCCCAAACTATGGTAACATCAAATTGCCATGTACTCAATAAGTAACAACTAACTGATGCATTTGGAGGCTAGTGAAAACATGAAATAAATAATTTTGATATTTCTTTTCTGCCTGAGAGTAGTGAAATTCTATGCTGGAAGTTTTAAAGGGAACTTGGGGGAAGGGTGGAGCAAGAAGCTAATCATAGTGCATGGAAGCAGCCATCAACTAAAGAAATGTGAGGATGCAAATCAAGGAAATAGTGACAAATATGGAGAAACTTTGATTAACACGAATGCTAAAATATTTTCTTGAAACAGGTGTCTTTGGCAACTTCAAAGTAACAACAGATAAAGAAACAAAGAAGCAACAACAGTATAGTAATGTCCCACTTAACTGGAGGTAAAGCTGTCAGTAACCTCAACCATGTAGAAAATAGGATCAACTTCAGAAATAAGTACAACACACTCTCATCAGAGAGGAAGATAATTCTCATAAAGATAATAGGTTTCCACTCTAGGGAAGGTTTAGAAATGTCTATAACAATCCCAAGCCCACCTTACACCATAGGGGCTTGAAGCTAAATAATGAAGTACTATAGAAATGTCATTTCAAGTTTTCAAGCTTCAAATAACTTTCAAACTAATATTAGAGAGGAAAGTTAGCACTATTTTTGTCATATAGATATTATCTACATTTTGCAGATGGAGAATTCAAGGCTCAGAAGGACTAAATATGTACATTGTCACCCTTAGAAAGTGGCATAGAAGGAATTTGCACTGGTATCTTCTTTACTCCAAGCTTAACCCTCTCTTTTTTATGTCACATATGTGCATGGGATACAAATAAGTTGGTCAATAATAAAGTGATCCTCATGCATAACCTATATGGAATTGTTACCTTCTCAATGGGGAGGAGGGGGTGGAGAGGGAAGAAGAGAAAGAATTTGGAACTCAAAGTTTTTAAAATGAATGTTAAAAAACTGTTTTTACGTGTAACTGGGGAAAAATAAAATACTAAATAAAAGCTTAAAAAAAGAAAACAATAAGAATAATAAAGTGATCCCAAATAGCATTGTCTCCAGAAAAATCAGTATGATTACTGATTGCTTCCCTACTCCCACACAATATTGCATTGCCTAATATGATGATCCAATTCAACAGGCATTTGTTGTCTACTCACTATGCCTAGGCAATAAGGATGTGGGGTGGGGGAAACAAATAAAATAGTCCATATCTTCAAGAATCTTATGTGGGTTTTGTTTTTCGTTTTTGGTTTTTGGTGTGTGTGTGTGTGTATCTTTCTCTGTGTATACAACATGCATACTGATAAGTAAATTGAAAATAATGTTGAGAGGGAAAGGGCTAACAAGCGGTATCAGGAAAAAACTTCACACAAGAGGCAGCACCTTCCCTGAGGCTTGAAGGAAATTAGGATTTTGTTAGGACGGTAAAATAGAGCTATATTTTAGGCAAGAACACATTCTATACAAAGGTAGGGAGAACTGGAAGAGGCGTGATGAATTCTGAAGGCAAGCTTAGCTGGAATGTAGAGTACATAAGATTATGGAAAAGTAGGCAGCACCCAGATTTGAAGGGCTATAAATGCAGGAGTATGTATTTCATTCAAATGACAATAGGGATCCCCTGAAGATTGTTGAGTAGAGAAGTGACATGGTCAGACTTGTTCTTTAAGAATATTGATTTGGCATCTATGTGGAGGACAGATTAGAGGAAGTATGAGACTGGAGGTAGGGAAGCCAATTAGGAATTGGCTAAGTCTAAATGAGAGGTGATTAGGGGCCAAATTAGAGTAGGAACCATGTGAATGGAGAAAAAGAAAACAATTCAAGATGCATAGACACACACTTATATGTGTATGTATGGCAGAGGCAAACCACACAATGGAAATGAAAAGATTTATCAGAGAAGGAGGAGAAGAGTTAAGGATGATTCCAATGTTGTGAAATTAGGTGAGGAGAAGAATGATGATTTCAACAGAAATAGAGAAATTGGAAGGGGGGGCAGTAATGAGTTCCATTTTGAACATATTGAATATACATGCTAGCATTACATCCAAGAGATAATAGCCATTACTTAGTGATGTGGGACTAAAGTTCAGGAGAGAGATTAGAAATTATATATCTATATCTACATATATCTCTTTCAATAGAAATAGAGATGATTTTCATCTCCACTTGATAATTGCCAAATGTCCATCTTTTCTCTATCATCTATCTATATCTATCTAGCCATCTTTCATCTATCTATCTAATCATCTATCTATATCTATCTAGCCATCTTTCATCTATCTATCTATATATGGCTACATAGAAACGCATGTTACTCTCTCTATTTATATCTACCTATTTCTCCACTGTGGGGAGCATCTAATTTGTAAAATGGATTAGATGACCTGTAAGGTCCCTTCCAATTCTAAATCTAGGATCATGCGATTCAGCAAATGATCCTCAGAAGAAACAGTTACCTATGTGGGATGAGAACCAGGAGAGGAACACCACAGATACCAAGAGTGGAAAAAAGAATCGAACAGGGAGTGTTTGACCAAAGCTGCAAAGGTCAAGTAGCTTGGGGACTGAGAAAAGCCCAGAGAATCTAATAATTAAAATATTTTAGGAACCTGGAGAGAATAATTTCAGTACAAGAGTGGGTTCCAAGACCATTAATGATGGTACTGAGCATTTCTATAGGTCAAAACATCATCGATATGGGATATTTCTCTAAGACTCCAAATTAATCAGGTCCCACTACACTTTTGATACTGAGAGTAAAAAGATCTCTTCAGCTTACTGGAACATGAAAAGAACCACTTACCACAAATGCTATTATACTCCTCAATGTAGATTCCCACTGGAAACAACTTTTAAGGAACTGTGCTGTATTCCATATTGCCATAGTAATTTTTTTCACACGATCAACATCCCTTGATAAAATCTGATAAATGGTAAGGAGAAAACAAGAAAAAGAATGAGCTGAATGAAAATCCTTCCTTCAGATACATTAACATGATATTTTGTCATATATTTTTGCATATTTTTGATTCATTCTCTGTTAATTCATCTTTAAAAAAATCCTGAGATTTCATCTGAAGTTTTATTTTGAATAGATCCTTATCAACAGGAGGAAAAAAGTAAAAGATTCATCTGAAGAAGAAATTCATGTCTCTTTATTATTGTATAAGACAATGATTTTTTAGGTGATAAAACCATAGGAGTTGCTGGGTTTTGTTTGGTTTTAAAGATGTCACAGGGAAGGAATAGCTTTACCATGAAATGCTCTTGAGTTTTCTGCCTGGTAAGAAACTGGTAAGAAACAATGTGTATGTTAAAAATCATGCTAGTTAAAGATTCGACCAGGGAAAAAGCAAGATAATGGAGAATTCTCGTTCAAATATTAGATCTGAACACATGCTAGTTGAAACATAGAAAGAGGAAGCCTAATGTAATAATAATAATTATAAAAAGACCTGGCAGCTAGTAAACCTGTGCCATGATCCTAACCCCAACGGCAATTTACTGTGTACTTGGTAAAGCCGCAGAATTTATCTTGACCTCAGTTTCTGTCTCTTCAAAAATTAGGGGGTTGAATGAGATGGCTTAAAGGTTTTTTTTTCTAGGTCTCATATTCTATTTGATATTTTCCATATGATTTCTGTTCCTCTGACCACTTGAAATCTGCCCATTAGAAAACTGTCACTCATATTCCCAATGGGTTTTAGTGTGTTGCAAAAGGAAAATTTTAAAATATGACAAAGCTGTTCATAGATTCAAAGAATCCGAGAGCTAGGATGGTTCTAAAGAGGTTATCTAACCAAACTACTTTATTTTAGAATTGAATAAGGCAAATCTCATACAGGTAAAAGGACTTGCCTCAGGTCACCTAGCTAGTAACAAAACAAGGCCTAGAATCCATATCTCCTGACTTCTACCTAGGTCAGTGTTTTTCATTTCAATTTGTTTGCAAAAGAACTAATTCATTTTCACCATACAGTTTTGGCATTCAAGTAAATATAGTAAGAGCAATGAAATACTAAAAATCCACAATTTACTTGAGAAAAATATGACAATATTATAATGGTCTAAACAAAATGTTGCTTAATTTCGGAAGACATTCTGGATTTTTCATAAGTATACTTCACAGTTTTTTAGAAACCCAAAGAATGATAAGATACCATTGTGGATATTTTTAACTATTTTATGTAATCCACAGCTGTTCCCCACACAGGAAATGGTGGAAGTAATAAACACTTTAAAAAGGGACACTTTGTTCTTTGGTACACAACTGAAGAGGGACAATAGGTACAGAATAAAATCCTGAATTGTCTCTAAGTAGGACAGGGAGGGACTCTGAAAAAGAATGCAAAGGTCATAGTAAATATGTGGTATTTCCTTTAGCACGACCTTATCTTCACTTTTCTTTGAAATGATGAGAGAGGAACTAAGTGCATCAGGCAGAGGAAAGGTATTTTGTTCAAAAGAGGGCAGAAAACCATAACATTTAACCTTGTAGTCAAACCTAAAATAATTAGGGAGGCCATGGGTGAAGATCATATTAGGGAATCAATGGCTGACCCTTTGCTATACATCCTCTTCTCCTATACTATTCATTTAGCTATTGATAACATGGGCATAAAAGCTTATTAATTTTAAAGGACCATCAATAAGAGACATGGATAGAACAGACAGTGAAGGCATTAATGCAGGTGATTAACAAATCAAGAAAGACGTGTTCCTTAAATGATAAGTAAAAGGGAGGGGGTGGGGGGAGAGAGAGAGAGAGAGAGAGAGAGAGAGAGAGAGAAGAAGAGAGATGAGTGTGTCATGATTTGATCACTTCTATTTCATTCAATAGATTTCTTTTCTTCCTCTCATTCTCTTCCCTCTCATTCCTACCTTTCCCTCTCCTCTCCCCCTATTCCCTGGTTATCCCCTTCCTGCATTTCTTATTGAAGTGTTAGCTTTAAGGTTAAAAAAGAAATTTTAAAAAAAGACCACCACCAAATAACCACTTCTAATGATGACTGAGTGTACAAATAAGTTGGCAGATATTGACCTACCTTTTTGGAAAGCTTGCGGCTATCTTCAACAAAGCGCTTTTCTCTGGGTGTAAAGGTCCTAATGCTTGCTTTTACCTAAACAACAAAAAAAAGTTTTAAAATGGCAGCTTTTGCACTGACTTCTTTTTCATCAAACAAATAATAATTAATAATAATAATAGTAATAAGCCAATACATTGTGATACTCTTGGTTTTTTGGTTTGTTTTTTTAGCAGAGAGCACCAATGAATTAGGGACCTACAAGGATGAGGCTAAGGCCTGGGAAGAAATTACAAGCATTTCAATGGACTTGATTTAATGAGACCATTGGGCAGGGCAGGTTGAAACTCAGGATTATTTAAGACCCTCACTGAACCTTTCTAAATCAGTGGAAGATTTTTAACTACTGCAGAGCTGTACTCAATGTTCTAGTGGTTCACTGAGTTCCTAAACTTTTCATTGTTATCCAAACTGCCCTCACAACTTCTAACAACATCAAGTAGCTAAAGTCAGTTCTTGATTTTTAGTGTAAGAGGCAAATGAATTTTGAATTCTAGGTGCTTTCCCTATCTACTTCTATTATTTTTTCACATGATTAAATGACATTAAACTGAATTATGGGTGCTTTCATAAGAATATATTTATATTTAGCTTCAGGCTGATTACATTAACTTTTAAAAATTAATTCTTCATAGTTTTTCTGCTTATGGGGACTTACCAATAAGATAGAAGTGATCAGAGCTGGCCTACAGTGCAGAGCAAAAAAGGAAACAAGCAATTTCTTGTTGGTCTTTGCAATAATACATATCGATATAAACACATTTAGGATGTGTATTAGGGAGAGAGGGAATTAGAAGAGAGGAGTGAATAGCAGTGACCTACAACCCAGGAAGTTCTAAATAATGTAATCATGGGAATTTTCTTGACCTATCTTTCATATGAAGCAGAATATGTGACTGAGGAGAGATGGATGTCAGTTGTTAAAGTGTACCCAAATGGGTAAAACTTACTTTGTTAACTTTCTGAGCATACTAATTGAGAGAATTACTGAAGTACAATGAATGGTATGCTAGTATGAGCTACAGTAAGTTACTGTAACATAACAGCTTGTATTCTGAAGCAAAAGATGGCAGACTTTAACAATTGGGTCCTCTCCTTGATTACATACAGCAGACAATAAAGTAAGCAAAATAATTTTGACTTTCTTTTGTGACAGACATTTCAGCTTTAAGACCAAAGAAAAATGGTCACCCCTCCTTTTAGATGCAACCAGACCTGGAATGATTTATGTTTGACTTTCACATCTAAGGGCCATGGCAGGTGGATGCCAAGGAATTCAACAGATTGGTTAGAGGGAATCATGAAGGAGAAGCTCCTTTTAGACTTACCGGATTATATATGATATCCATCTCCAAATAAATAACTCCTTTTGATGCTTGTTCTAAATCTTTATTCTTCAGTACATAGCAACTTTGCTGCCCATCTCTAATCTATCATGAATAAAAGATAAAATATGTATTGATGAGCAATCTCTCTGCTTGGTTTTAAATGGCTACCCAAAGAGTCTCATCTCTTCAAAGCCGAGAATACAAAATGACCACCAATGGAACAAATATTAAACTGAAGATTAAACCTATTATAATCCAACTTTTAATTCCACAGTGATGCAGTTTGTGGAGCACAGTATGATAATAACCAATCTGAAAAGTCTGCCCTAAAAGCCAATGTGTTGATGGAAAACAATCAGCACACTTTATTAGCAATTCGAAATGGGAACTTCTCTTCCAAACATCCAAAAGGTCAACAAAATTTTGGTTTATTAAAAAGATCATGTTTGCTGTTAGCCAGGGCACAATCTAAATTAAATAAATAAATCAACATAGCTAAAAGTTAGGTGCAGGACATGTTCAAAATGCACCATGTCCTGAAAAACATTCAAAATAAACAAATCCCTTTAATAGTCTCTTCCTGCCAGTATGTGAAATCAGTTCCATACACTAATCTGCCTGTTGGCCCCAGCACATTAGACATCTATGAAAAAACATCTCCCTTACCATTTTGGAAAGTATTTGGCTCAAGTTAAAGGCCTTCTCTCTTCAAATTTGATGGCAGCAATGTTTTTATTATACACAGTAGTATATGTATTGATTAAACATTTGGCTTTTTAGGAAGCACACCAGTTAATTCTAGATGGTAGCAACATAAAGCTGCAACTCACCAAACGCTCCATTTGGGATTGTAATGATCAAAGATTAAAGATAACAGGGGAAATTTGAGGGCATGAAATTTCAACCATATTTTAAATGGCTATTGCTGTCATTGCATGAATTTAGTGCAAGCGTTCACATAAACACTGGTGGAAATGAGTTAAATAACTCACTAAGGGAAACAACAATTTCACATTACAAGGGAGAGGTCACTTTCCTTCCCAAAGCCACCCACCTCCCTTGGATTGCAGAGCTTTTCAGCAGAAAGATAGTTTCCCTAGCCAGTGGCTAAGAGGAAGAAGTGACCTATAAAGAACTGGTATCCTTCCTGGACAGTGTCCAAACAGGAATCTCGGTTTCCGTTTTTATCCAGTCTCAGTTAATTGAACATGGAATCTTTTTAATCTGAAAAAAGTATGCCAACTTGATGCTGACCCAGCTTTGCTCTAATTTAACCTACAGTCATACCACACTTGCTGGCAATTCCCATCAGTTCTCAAAATCTAGGTAGTGGTCAACCTGGACAACTTTAGGGATAAAAGGTCTCAATGGAAAAAAAACCAACATGACAAACAGGAAGAGTAATTTCTGATTTCCTAAGTAACTTTTTTTCTTGCTTAATATTGAACCTATGCATCAATGTGTGTTTGCTAAGTTTAACTTACAAAGCCCAAACCTGTATCACTTTGTGGTCCTTTAATGAATTAAGTTAGAGAAATATTCCATTATTTGTGATCCTACCAACTCCTTTTTTTTTTTAAGTAGAAAGGAGAGAATTGCCAAGAGTGCTGCCCAATTGCCTTGGGAATTGTTTTGCCATAGTCTTACATAAAAATAATTTGGAAATTTATTTTGCGTTTATCTATTCAAATAGCAAAACAGTAGCCAATAAAATACTTAAGACATTTCCTTTTACTCTTTCTCTGGTGGAACTTTCAACTCTAGGGGGAAAACTCTGGGACATCCTAAATCCCATAATTCTTATATGTCTGCTTTTATACATGTGAGGGAGGGGAGAAATCAATGAGTTCACAGATTTTTCAATTCTAAGTATTAAGTAAAAACAGCCAAAATCATTTTAGAGCCAACAGATAAATAAACTCTACGAACATGCATTTACAGTGGCCAAAACTACTTTATTGGCTGTTACTGGGTCTTTAAGCTAAAATTGGCTGCAATTTTCTGATTACAACAAATAGAGGCAAGTTTTTCTAGTTTTCTGAGAACTAACTGAAAAGAAACTTTAAAAAATATTGAGCCTTTCAAAGGTAAAAGAGTCATTAAATATGATTCTATGATATCATAATAGTGATTGACCATCAGAAGACTTTCAAGACCTGGTTCTCACATCAACTAATTATGTAACTTGGATCATCTCACTTATTCTCTCTAGATCTCAGGTTCTTTGCTTGAAAAAAAATTATTATATTAGCCTAGATGATCCCCTTTCAGCTTTAAGATTTTGTGATTCTAGGACATAAAATAGTTTTGATGCATATACATGTCTATTGTATACATATTCGTAACATATAAATATTATATATGAATACATATTAATGTGTGTCACATTCATCATATACATATATTCAATATATACATAGTCATTAATTTGTGTAACACAGTTAAACGGTCATATAGGTCCCTACACAAAAGACATTGGTGTCCAAGGACACAGAAAACACTCTATTTTCTTAGCTGGAACATTTCTTTTATGCTAAAAGTTATCATTATCCTCCATTTAGAATTGCATTGATGTAAACCATCACCAACTGATTCAATGGGGAAGATAATCAGAACTAATATCAAGGAATAAAACTATCAGCTTGGCTTATGTAGGAAAGATATGCAATTATAGTTTAATCCAATACTAAAGATTCATATTAATTTCTCAGTTGTTTGACCTTCATGAAAAAAAAAGAGAATAATTGGAAACAAAGTAACATTACTTCATCAGGCACCTTTTATTGAATACAAAAGGGAAAAAAATAGTTTAGTGTAGCAATGGCATAATAACCTAGTTTGTCCCATCTGATACACAGTAGAAAGTTACCATCCTATTGAATGCAATGAGAAGAGGTTATAAAGCCAAGCAAGGTAAGGAAGAAAATAAATCAGATCTGTTGGTAGTTAGGTCCCACTCTAGCATAAATTTAGAATCAGGACTATTTTCAATGATATGGGGATAAAACCATATGATGATAAGTAAGAAATATTAACAAGGGTACCATGGTGCTGCTTTTATAGATTTGACTGTATGTTTTTGCATTTATATTAAGGGCAGAGTTGTTAGCCTCCAAAATTATGATGGAGAAAATTTGTTTACTAGAGTGTACAAACCTCCAAACTTACAACCACAAGTGGAACTTGGGTAAATATTTAATTGGATATGTAAGTGCACATTTAAAGCATGGATGTTTATTAGGTACAAGCAATTCTAGAAAAATTACTCTATAAACCTAATTAACTGAAACTGTTGTAATAGGCGCAGCTAGTTACTGTCCCCACAGATGCCCATGGAATGTGATGGATTCACAGACCAACAAACTTGCCTCATTGCAAAGCCTTGGCTTTTTACACCCTTGAACTTCTAGCAAAATAGTATCTTTTTTTTGTATTCCTTTTATCAGAAAATTTAAATGATTCTGTCTTAAAGATGGGGGATAATCGCCGATACATTGAAAATGTGACTTTTTAAAAGGTATATCAATTTTACTTCTATACCAGACTTGTGATTTTACCAGTGCAGGGGACTTCTAAGGAGAAATTAATTACTGACACCAAGACAGATCAGCTTCTTCTCTGTATTTCATACTTTCAGAAAGCTACTTGGGGGCAACAAGAGTTTAAGTGACTGGCCCAGAATTATACAGCTAGGGTATGTCAGAGGTTGGATTTGAATCCAGGTCTTCCAGACTCTGAAGACAACTATGTACTCATTATATCAAGTTACTTCAATAACACTGATTTATCACCATAATTTGACTTCAGTCCATAAATGAATTTAAGGTCACTTACCAAAAAAAAATGTGAAAGTACAAATATATAAATCTGTTAGAAAGTGGAACTTTTTTTTAACAGTTACTATTAGAATCGTTCTTGTTTTGTTTCAAAGTTATCTCCTACACATAAGAGGTCTTTTTAAAAATTAATTTATGTTTTTTTCCCAATCAGCAAAAATCTACCTCTCTGCCTCTCATTCTTTCCTTCTTCCAAATGAGAAAAGGAAAAAGGAAAATCTCTGTTACAAATATGTATAGTCATATCAAACAAATTTTAGCATGTTATCTTTAAAAGAGAAAAAAACACATATATTTAAACACACACAGATAGATAAGTGTACATATACACACATGTATGAACATATATGTATATGTTTGTGTCTTTCTGCACTCACTTTTTTATGAGGAAGTAGGTAGCATGTTTTATCATTAGTTCTCTCAAATCATTACATTGTATCAGGATTTCTAATTCTTTCAAAGTTACAATACTGTTGTTATTGAATAAATTGTTTTTTGTAGTACTGTTTATTCTGCATCAGTTCATACATGTATCAGGTTTCTGTGAAACCATCCCCTTCATTATTTCTTACAGCACAATAGTTTTCAATAACATTTATATGCTATAATTTATTCAGCCATTTCCCCATTGATAGGCACCCATTCTCCCACAGATTCTAATTCTTTGCCTCCACAAAAGAGTAAAAATATTTTTGTTCATTATTAAAGTTCATTTTGCTTTGTTTAGGACTAATTTCTCTTTTTTAAATCTAGCCATTCTCTATTTCCCCTCTTCTTTCTTTTCCCCTTTTCCTCTTATTTCCTTGTTGAGTGAAGTGCATTTCTGTACCCAGTCTAATTGTGTATACATTCTTCTCTCCTTTGACCAATTCAGATGAGAGTGAGGTTAGTGTCAGCCACTCCCCCAACTAATTCTTTCTTGTTTGTATAGGCCTACTTGCACACTCCAATTGTGTGAGATAATTTTCCACAATCTTGCTTACTCTTCATTTCCCTTCCCTTCTTGTATAATCCTCTTCTTCTCCCTTTCCATTCTTCTTTTTAGATCATTGTGAAATAACAGAACCACTCTCAGGACTTCTGAATAATTAGAATTCCTTGATGATGATAAGCTTAGAGGAGACACATATATCATCTTCCTATGTTATAATATAAGCTGTTTATCCTCCCTGAGTACTTTATTATTCTTTGTTCACATTTACTTTTTATGTTTCTCTTACTCTTATATTTTAATATCAATATTTCTGCAGAGTTCTGGTCTTTTTG